TTACCCAGTCAGCCATTTGTTCCCACATACATATTGTCATAGTCAACTAACAGATCATTGAGCTTTTGTTGGTTAACGGGATCATTATTGCTTGCATATCTTAAACCAGGGATCTCAGATGTGTTGGCAACTGAGTATTTGCTTTTGGACTTGGCAAAATGGAAGTAATGCTAGTGATATTGCTAGCTTTGGTGGCTTCCTCTTTGCTTCCTAGCCAATGACCATTACAATGTGGTGCTGGATAGCCAAATGCCCATAATTACAGAACAACACTGATACGTCATCCTTTCTCAGACAGATTTCTGTGCATTTTATGTGTTGGCTCTATCACCATTTTATATGACATCAAAACACCAGACTTCATTCATTGTAAATCAAAGAACACCATTTTTATACACAGAGCATCTGTGACTCCATCCACAGTATCAGATGAATTTCCTTCAGATATACATATCACCTGTTGCATAAACAAGACTGATTGATAATTTCCATAGTATGTCAATCCCTGGGATACCAATGTCAAACCCATATTCAAGAATGACTACCTTTGTTCTGTAGCTAACTTAACCAAAACACCATCAGATACTTGCCTCTCCAATCACATCTACTCCATCCCCATTCAACACAATAAATTTAGTGTTAACTGGCCAGGGTGGCAGCTTCACTCAGAATATTTTATATATACATGACGAGATCAACCAATGTTTTGGTAGCTCCTGTATCAACCAGAAACTCTTTATGTCGCTCTTATATCTTCACAGGAACATATCAAGCACATCCCAACCTTGATAATGTTGGGCTGACCACCAAACCTTTGGGCACAACTTGACTGTTTTTAAAGAAGAAGTAGCAGCAGCTACAGTTCACTGTTGACCTAGGAACATTTGTTGTGCAGTTGGTCAAACTGTAGCCTCACCTATCTGGCTGTACAGGAAGGCATGAGCAGTTCACTGTGAAGAGACCCTGCTACTCACACTGATCTCAGATGCATTGGCTCTCTCTTCTGGAGTGATCTCTTGGCAAAGGCATTATTGTCATCAGCTTTTTCAAGCCTTGAACTCGGTTTCCACCAAATAAAAAAAAATAGTGCAACTGTATTCCAATGCCATAGTTGCATCTCACTCAAATACTTAATAACATCAATGACTGGATCATTCAAACTGAGAGTCTTCGGCGTTGGTTTGTATGTTCCCAAGTCCAACCATTTTCAGAAAGTGTTTCAGATTATACGCTACCACACCCTTGAATATGAGGGTGTTGTTTTCTGTTTGTTTGGTTGTTTGTTGGTTCCATACTAGTGAGATAACGTATTCTTGTGTATGTTGTTAAGCACAACATACACAATCGACTATCTTTGCTCTGCCCACCACCGGTTTCAAAACCTGGTTTCTAGCGATGAAATTTCGCGAACATACCGCTGTGCCGCTGGGGGGCTGTTGTTTTCTTCACCTTAATCATAGTTACCTCTATTTTTGGCATACAATTCTCACTCATGGAATCTCAACCAGGACCATGCTGAGATGTCTTAAATGTTGGGGTTGCTATGTAATGGACTCGTACAGAGACCTCTACACTGAAACGATTGTCAGATCCCTGCCATCAGGTCACATAATGGTAAATTAACCACCAGTATATCTAGTCACCAGGGTCCAATTATGAGTGGCATTGATCAGAGCAGGATTTGAACTACACTGGTCAGCAAGTACAACAATTTTTATTTCAACACAAATAAAAATCTAGGGCAAAGATAAAGGTACTGTGTGGCACCTTTACTGAAGAGTTAATTATGTCCCAGACTCAGAAAGTATGGCATTATATACAAAGCACAACAATATCATTTTTCTCAAGGTGTAAGTACTACCTATGTGACTAACAGTCACTCTCCCTACAAAATAAGGGACATTGTATCCTTGGAGAATCATCCGACTTGCCAACAGTCAAAATCTCTGTGTTCT